AGAAGAGACGCGCTTCAGAGCAAAAAGACTCCACTAAAGGTTCTGTCACCTATTAGCCCTCTAAACAACTACTCGAAACGCTTCAGAGTACCTCACAGTGTGCGAAAGCCACGCCCATGGGCGAGTTACCAGAGGGATGAACTACCAATCAGTACGGTCGAGCCCCCGTCTCGCTTTTTCCAGAAGAATTTGGGAACCGCCTACAGTTTTATTAACGAATGGACAAGAAGAAAAAAGTTCAAAAAGGGAGATGAAGTCAAAGGATGAAAAGGAAAGTTCATAAAAACTCCGCTTTAGTGAAAAGGAAAGTTCATAAAAACTCCGCTTTAGCCCATTTGCTGCCGGGTAGACTTTTTCAACCAACGCAATCTACGGTTTCCGGTTTCTCCTTCAAGCCAGTGATGTAGGGTACCCTTATGAGCTTGGGCATATTTCTTATGAATCTAGTCTGGTTCCGATCTCCTTGCGCAACGAGATGGAGGTCCTAGTTTGGCCCAGTACTACTGGAGGCAAAGGTGGTGTAGCGGTAAGTGGCATGCTTATCAAGTGCCTGGTCCGGAGATCAAATCCATCCGGGATGATTTCCGCCCCGGCGAACCAAGGCCTCTACCGCATGGGGTGGTAGATTGGTACCAGATTCGTCTGGGAAGATGAGAACACTGACTTGGGCATGGCTGGCTCCCAAAAGTCATTGGATAGCCCACATAGCATTCAATAATCCACTACTATCCTGAACTGAAGCAGAATGAGATTAGTTAACGGCGAAAACTATTGGCAGCCCTTGTTTTGACCAGAATACTTGAAAGTCCGACGGTCATGCTCACCACGGAATGGATGATCGTCTAAGAGAGTGAAGCTGTTGGTCTAGGCACATTCTGTGAGCCTTGGCCGCTGGTAATCCTCTGCCATATCAAAGACATTTGTGGGAAATTCGGGGAACGTGAAACAGGGATGGAAAAAGAGCTGATTACTGCAGAATGCTTCGGAATTCTTAGATTCCGAGAACGAAAATCGAAGCAAAGTCCACGCTCGCGATTTATGTTGTACACTGGGCTTTTTTACAACTGCTATTTATATAACCGAAGGTTTTTCAAAGGCGTGGCGCCTTCCATAGAGCTACACCAGCGTCAGAACTCCATGTTCGCTAATCGCGTTAAATTCCAGCCCCCGTCTCGCTAACACGAATTGGAAGGTCATTTTTTAAACGGACGTGAAATTCGTTCGACAATTCTTCAAGCCAGCCAGCCACAAACCATCTAGGATTTATTGCTAGTTGACTCAACAGAGAACCGTCAAATGTTCTCAGTTCAATAGCAGAAAATATTCATGACTGGAGCTGAATGTTAGGTTAGCGAGTATCTGATAGTGAGAGGCAAAATCCTTCCTTGCATTAAATGGGCAGGTCCGCGATTGCATAAACGTGCCTCTTTTTTTGATTTTTGCCCCTCGAAACTGCATATTAGGGAAACCAGTTTGGGATTGGTAGAAGTTATCGATATGTCTGCTCACAGCTATTGCACATCTAAGCCTTGTCATCTAGAAAGTGCTCAGTGGACTTGACTAAGGCCACGAAGACTCCATTTGAAGTGATATGTTAAACACAAATGGGCGCTGTTTGTCGACGGGGGGGGGGGGCATTTTGTACTACCATTGCTTCCCTAGTTCCGGTTTACAAATCTCACCCTGGTAAAACTTGTAAACCTTGTGAAGCTGGTGCAGGATCGTCTAGCCACCATCCTAAAACGTGTCAACTCGAGAAAAGGCTACCTAGATGGGTCGGCACATCTATGGAAAGCAGAATGCCCCCCCCCCGTCGACAAACTGCGCCCACTAATGTAACCTTAACATGTAAAAAAAAGCTCGAACAGTGTAAATTTTCGTAACCTCAGAAGTTCAGGCGCCTTTGCCTTTGCGGAACTCAGAATGAATCAGATTCATAGCGGATCTTTATGTAGAAACTGTGCTTTTTGGAGTATTTCCTTACTGGGGAGTCTGCTCAGCACTCTTATAATTAACACACTCGTCCCTGCCTGAAACCTATTTCTTTCTGAGAAATGCCGAGAATCGCTTTCAAACGCTTCTGGACACTATTTTTATTTTGGTAGCGGGGCGCAAACGAGCAGCAGGAGAGAACATCCTGCCGTTGGGAAAAAGTTCCACAGAATACAGCGGCTGCCCCACCCCCCCTTCCTGCCTCCGAAAATTGTTCCTTCCCGGTACGATCTTCCTTCCCCAACTCACGACGCCATCCACTTGCTACATTCTCCGCATACCACCCCTACCACATTCCCAGAGAGAACTTTCCCCGAGTTATCCAAATCTACCGATACGCGGGAGATGGAGGAGGAGGTTGCGGATGAGGGGCACTATATATAAGAACCTTAAAATTGAACCTGCAGAACCTCAAAATTTTCAATGAGTGGCTCTTTTCGACAAATTTTCGCCGCGATTTTGAGCCATTTCACGGCATTTTTGCTGCATCTCCGGCCGGGTGTGTCGTTAGGTCCGCCCGGCCGGAAAACTCGTCCAAAGGGACCCTCTTTGCCGGTTTTTTCGCTAGTGGTGTCGGTAGGCGGTCGCCACCGCCGCCCCGCCCCACGCCGTACCGCTCCGGCCGCGAGAGACGCAACCCGAGAACCGAAACTCGTACCGATTCGAGCGAAAACTCCCAGTAGCCGTCGCCAGCGAGCCCGAGTATGACAACTGTATAGTGCACGAAATTAGGACACACCGATTAGAAGTCAACCGATGGAAAATGCTTTGTCTTTCTCAAGCAGCAATGCGACTCCCCCCCCATACGAGCACTCTCTGGAGCTGGGTAAACTGCTGATGCTTCACAGTGCCACACCGCTGGTTTGAGAGTTGCGACAGCTTACACAAGACGTCTCCACGACAGCTTCATTAGATGGCTACTAGACATAGAAACGGAGATGTCCGCGTCATGTTACTTTACGTCAAGTAATACGCTCGTGAGCGCAGAGCTTCGTCCTCGGGGAAATCGGTTGATGCCGTCTCTCCACACCATCGACTTGTTCCGAGGAGGGGCCAAACCAAAGCGCTGTTTCTCATGGGGCCCACCGTGACAAATAAGCTTATGCTTCGAGCGCGCTTTGAAAAGGGGATTTTTTCGCCCCACGAAAAAATTATTTTAGTTTTAGAGATTCTGAAGGTGCTAGGGTTGAGAACAGTGTCTGTGATAAATGTTTGCATTATTCGTTTACAACGCCATCCTGTGCGGAACATGTTTTAGGGGGACGCTAAATGAACGAAATGTCTTTATTTATTGCCTCCACCTTTCCGACCACTCCTGTAGGGGCCCTTCGGGTCACGCGCTTCAGGACTTTTCTCTTTGAAATGAAGACGAAGGTTGTATAGAGGTACCGAACGCCGTTCAATGTGTGCATGTTCTCTGAAAGACGGCTAAGCTTTTGTATGTCATCACTCCCAGGCCAAACGGTGGACTTCTCAGAAAATTGGAGGTGAGCCCCCCCCCCCCCTCCACCCCGATGAGCACATTATGGGAGATAATGGGGGCTTGGAACGTCGTGGTACAAATAGCAGACGAAATGGGTCGAATACTGCTCGGACTAACCAAGCCTTCCCTTCTTCCGGTTTCGGCTAGTTGATAGCAGACTCATCTCAAAAAATAAGGATTCTAGCTCAAGGCCGGGTAGCCTCGTAAACCATTGCATAGATCGAATCGCCTTCGAAAACTCTGTGGTTTCGAAAAGCTGTAAAAGGTGTGGCGTATCCCAAAGAGGATGGATCATCTCTAAAAGCTTTGTCCTTTATGATGAAAGCATTTATTTGACTGATGGCTCATCGGTTCAATTGGCGCATTCCAAACGTTTATCCTTGGGATTCTAACGCTACATGCAAAGGCTAAATCGTTCAGGAAAAAAAAGCGGTAGCCAAACCGTGAAGATTTCGAGTTTCCAATCCAGTTCAAAGTCTTCACATCACATTTATTCACGTTTACGTCGTCGTCGTAACAATCCACAGCCCACAGTTTTGCCCATGCTGAATGAATTGGCTTTGTCCGGTTAAGCTATCCGTCGGCATAAAAACCTTTCGATGAGAAACATCGCCGTTCGTTTGTGACGGAAGCTTCCAGTAATGCCGGTTTTCTTCGTGAATAATATGATTGTTGGATAACGACGGTGAGAAGGCACCTTCTGACGCCTACGTTTATCGATACGACTGGATTTCGAACCTTTCAATGACCATAACCGAGCAAAAAGATGGTCATAAGGTGAATGACACCCATGCACTGACAGCAGTGGTGTAGCTGCACGTTCTGTAAAAAAAGTTTGAAATGGCCCATGCATTCTAGCACTGGCCTACTGTTGCCAGTTGATGTTTCCTGTCCATATCCCGGCTTTGGAAGGGGAGTGTCCATGGATTTGGGAATGAAAGCAGTAATGGTAGATTTCATGCTGCCTGTTGAGCAGAGAAGTAGACAGGCGTACGAGTAAGAGAGCGCCGAGTGTTCAAAAACACCTTGCACATCGTTCGTTGTCCTGCCCACCCACTCCCGAAACTATCCACAAATACGCAGCTTTCTCCTCGCTCACGACTTATTCCGTAGACACACCCCTTTGGTGTCGTGACATGGTTGGCAGGTAGTCTTCTCAATAACTCCAGGCCATCCTATTGTCGGTTCGTAGTTCTCGCTGGAAGACGGCCAACGTGAACCACGGCTTGATCTTCGAAAATTAACAAGTAATTAGATGAGCAAACAACTAAATAAACAAACAAATAAGAAGAAGCTTCGTCTTGGAGGGGGGAGGGAGAATTGTCAAAGGGCTCATTCTGCAAAAGCGGTGCTACGCAAAGGATAAATAGACAGGATTTTTTGATTAGGCCTCTGGAAGGAAAAAAATTTCAGGGTGGAATAACCAACTTCTTTGTGGAATGAGAATTTTGTGACAATCCTCACTTTTGCACAGAAGTCAGTTATACGCTCCTCACCGCCCCCCCCCCCTCCCTTACCTCCCGAAGCGAGTAGATAAACAAACGACTTAATAGAGAAATAAATAGAGAATAGAACGAAGAAAAAAGGAGATGAGCACGCATAAATAGTAAAGTAAAGCTAGAAGGCTGGATGAAGTTCCGGGCTGATTAGTCCCTCTTGAGATGCGCCTACCAAGACATTTATCGAGCCGGTGTGAAGCGAAAACTTTTTCATTCGCATATCATTGCGATACACTCATTCATAGCACCTCCATCCAAAATCAAATCCCGGATCGAATACCGCCCATGCTAATCGAGCCTTTCAATCCTCCAAGGTCAGTTATTCCGTACAGGATTCGACAAGGGAAACTCTGACTTGGACTTTTTCGTGATTTCCGTCTGCTCAAGCTGCTCATGAGGTTTTGCTTGGGTTTAATGGCCTATCAACAGGAGAAGAGGCTGTCTAGATAGGTAGGTCGTAGGAACGTAGCAAAAATGCAAAATGCCCCCCCCCTTCCGCCGCCGAACTGCGCCGGCTACTTGTTCAAATTGAATCGCTCCTCCCAAAGAGCGCATCAAAATGACCGATTTATACACCGTTTGGATATAGCCAATCGCTGCGTGAGTCCAATACTCAACATACTAGGTGATAAATGTGGACATATGAGCGAAGTTTTGAAAAAAAAATATGCAAATTAAAATATAAATATCCTGTCATCATCTTTATCAATATTGATATCTGCTTCGTCAATGCTGGTTGGCGCTCCCCAATAACAGACTTGATCAGTGTCAGGAGTTATCATTAAGCCTTTTTAAGTCCATCAAGGAGAATCGTTCGTTCTCTGGGGCCTCGGATCAAGCGAAGAACTGGTGAGAAATTGTTTTAACACGTTCCAAACCGACGCTCGCGTGGCGTGCACGTGTGACCGCGGCATTTTTCGATGCGAGGCTGGCGTGACACACATGGTGTGTCATGCGGCCACACGGGGCAGGTTTCAGTCGCGATTTTTTTCTCAATGATTACTTCATTCTAAAAATTTGTACGTGGGGGTTATTTCACATGCTGAACACGAGTCAGACATTAATTTTCGGTGCCGGCGCCACTTAGCGCCACCGCGGCGCTAAGTGGCGCCGGCGCTAGTTTTTCGCCACGATAGTTTTAAGCGAAATTGATGTGACTTTTCAATTAGGGGTATTCAGTGATCGCGATCACGACTATGACATTCATTTTTAGCGCCGGCGCCATTTGGTTCTTGGTGAAGAATGTCACAGCGCTGAACTGGCGCCTTGTGCTCGGCGTTCAGCTCGATGATCAACCCGGGGATACAGGGGGGAAAGTATCCAAATCGGGGTGATCCAGTTGATCACTCTTTGCACTGTTATAATGGCGAAAGCAATAACATTGAAAATTACAAAATAGGGCGCAGTCGGCGACGAAGGGGGGCATCCTGCACTTTCGGGCTTCACTAGTTCCATTTTACAGGCCTAGAACCTGTGAATATACTTGTAAGCTCATAAGATAGCTCTCTATATGGGTCGACGGGAAGTAGCAAAAGTGTATAATGCCCCCCCCCCCTCGTTGCCAAATTGTCCCCAGAATAGATCATGTCATGCATGTTGGAAATGACCTCAAATTTTTGAGAGCTTACAGGTCCGTGGCAAAACAACTAGCTGACTATTTACGAATTACTTGACTTGAAGCTGCAGTTCTCTGCGCTGCATTCGCACCAGGACCTACAGCCGTTTTTGCTGCAGGCACTGGGGCGTGTCATGGGCTAGATTTGGCGCGGCGTCAGCCCGTTCTCCACCTACTGCCTGAACTAGCCCCTAGAATAATGTCGTAGAGCCGGCTGAAGGTCGACTGGGCGCACCACTCTAGATGTTATCCAAGTTCCTCCACTCAGAATTTCTCTTTCAGATCTGTGCCTACTTGGAAAAAGAGGAGAAAGAGGAGCGAATTCAAGCCGATTGGAAATTCGCCGCTATGGCTGTCGATCGAGCCTGCCTTATTATGTTTACTGTGTTCATTGTGCTATCAACCATCGCTATCTTTCTGTCAGCACCTCACATCATCGCCTGAAAGACCCGTCTAAGCGCCCAGGATGGGCACGATGCGCATCCTGTGAATCTCATGTATTTTCGTATCGTCTTGCCTTATACGGTAACCTGTAGAAATTGATTATTAATAAAATAAAATACTTTATTCTTCTGTCCACTAATATATACAGAAAAATGCGAATCAGATAAATAAGGTGATCCTATTTTCCGACAGGATAAGCTCCAGCGGCGGCACCACCACCAGCACCATAAGATGGTGGTGCTGGTGCAGCTGCAATATAGACTGGTGGTCCTGCTGCTGGAGGTGGAGCACCCATGGGATATCCTCCACCACCACCACCCATTCTGCAATCAAAGGAATTTGTGCGAAAAAAAAGAATTATAGAAAGTAAAGAACACTTACGGCATTCCGCCACCGTATCCTCCGCCGCCACCCATTGGTACACAGGCTAGCATACATCCACCACCACCACCTCCTCCACCACCCATGCAACCTCCTCCGTAGCCTCCTCCGAAGCCTCCACCACCTGGATAACAGCAGCACCCACCACCGCCTCCTGATGAGCCGAAGCAGGCCAATGAGGGTGCGATTAGCACGGCCAACGTCAGTAAAACGTACTGAAAAGCATTCTTTGAAAAACTCCTAGCATTAAATATTGAATAATTGCAGCATAAGAAAGCTCCACCCATTAAGAGCAGAGGATTGGTGGGACTATGACTGTCTGTCTGGTGACGTTCGAAACAGTTTTACAAAAAAGCTCATGCTTTGATAATTTAATGACGGCTGAGCATCGCTGGAATCTATTTTGTGGTTGTAACAAGCTGAGCCTGCCCTTGGCATTTCCTGGAACGAAAAATGACGTAAAGAGGGATACGGTAGCCATGGGGCCATTCACCTGCGGCACGTACCTCGAGCCTCTCCCCCCTCCGTTGAACACTTAACAGCAACGAAGACAATAGAGGATTTTTGAAGACTATTGCTTTTTTTTAAAACATCAGTCACAATTTCGCTATTATAGGAAGTCACGTTGGTGGGTAGAGACGCAGAGAAGCTGCAGGAATCTACCGCTCTGGTATCGCGTCGATAAACCACAAGGAAAGTATCTGTCACTCTTACGACTTGCAGCTGATTCAGATGATAATTCAAAACACTGTTCTCGAAATTAAAAACACTGTTCTTGATGCTGCTCTGGCTTCCTATCCTACTTTCGGTTAGAGACGCAGAGACGCTCCTAGTCTCTGTTTCACTGGTTTCTTCCCTTATGATCATTGAAGAGTAACGATCTTGGTGGCATTTGTACTGCTGACCATAGATTTGCTAAAACCTATGACCCAAAGGAGCTTGAACCAGAACGATCAGCTTGGGGCTATGAATGACTAAGCCGCATGCGGCGCTGACTCAGCCACGCCCACTCAAAGTGCGGCATGGGGTCGGGGGAATGCCAGCCGCCTAGGACTTCCAAAAATATTGCCTCCTTAAACAACCCATTTTTCAGAAGATGTTGGAGAAGAGGGTTTACAACGTTCTCCCCCCCCCCCCGCCCATACTGCAAATGCGTAGCAGTAAGGAAGTTGAATAGCATTCGGGATGGGGGGGGGGCGAGCCGCAAACTACATCAATCAAGAAACTTTAATAGAAGTATGCTGTGCAACTGGTAGTTCCAGAAACGATATAAATTTATAGGAATTCGTGAAGGTGAAAAGGCGTGAAAATAGTGCGGGGTCAAAACCGTGGGTCCCTAAAAAATAGCCAATCCGGGTTTTGGATCCGAAAATAACAGCATTAGGCAGAAAGTAGGCCATCGCAGGTCCCATGAGAACTGGGCACAAGTCCCATGGGAAAGCAGATATAACAAGCACAGTAATGAAGGAGTACTGTAGGAGTGAGCATGTAAGAAGTGAGACTCACCATCGTAGAAACCGAAGCTGTATCACTTGATGCTGACGACACAAATATGAATCCGGGCGACTTATAAAGGGGAGATCTGCGGGTACCGCCCCCCGTCACGACGAGATCCGGACCATCTTTTTGCGGTGGATCGCGCTTAATGGCAGGCTGCTGGACGGCGGGAGGGCTGTTCCTAAGCGTTGTGGAAAAGATGGGTGCTGGGTGAAGGTGTATGATGTAAGCGGTGTGATAGCGTAAACGCCATCAGCTATGGTCAGAACGCTAGCAAAATCCGCCCCACTTGGGATCTCATCAGCATAACCCAGCCACTGCTGCATCTGGGAAAGCGCGGCGACGTATCCCTGCATACATTCATGGTTTCCGGGAAAAATTAACATGTGACGATTGGACTCACACGAGGTTTCTTCCCAAAACTGGTTCGAATCCTATCGAGGACCAAAAGGGAAGCGCGCATACCACTATACGGCTGATGGAGTGCAATTGCCCTTTTTGTGTGATGAGCTTTACAGAGGAATTCATTGGAATTCGATCGCGAACAAAAGATCGCCCATGAAGACGAGGGAGAAAGTTGATGGGATCACCCCGCTAGACGGCAAAAACGGATCATTTTAGTGGATGAGAGCATCCTGTAAAAAAACTTAGGGGAATGCTTCATCTTGATTAGTCCCTCCGTATAGCTCCATCCATCCCAGCCCTTCTCAAGCTATCTTAAATTTTATTAGATATAAATCATAATTCCGTACACTAATTATTTATGAAGCGAAAAGGATTAGGCTGTTGAGGAACTATCCGGTCGGGTTATGAGTACGGGGTTTTTTTCCAACTGAAGAAGAAACTTTTCACCTTCAAAGGCATATGGCCGGTAATTTGGTACTCGGTCTAAAATGCTAGCAGGGTGCTTTATAGTGGGGGAAAAGGCGCAAAACGAAGTGAAACGGTCAAAAACCTTGTAAGAAAGGCGTTGTTCCTCACGACTCGGACGAGTTCCCGGTAGCCATCGTGTCAGTAACCCCTACGGTACATACGGCTGCACGTATGTACTAGTTCACAAATGGGAGCAATACGAGCAGTAGGTATGTTTCAGCATGTTAGGGCGCTATAAGGGTATCTCATTCGAAAAATGTGTTATACAGCGCCTGCGTAGGGTAGCAAATTCCGTCCCGCCAAGGGTACTAACCACAAATCCCTTAGGAATTTATCGTACCGACTGCCTTTAACAAGGAAAGAATGGCAGGTCGAAGTGACCATCTGAAATGAGATGTATACCGACTGAAGGTTTGGTTACGGGGCAGTTGTCAACCAGACGTGCTCTCGCTGCGAGGGTCCAGGGGTATTTTCTCAAAGCGTCTACCAGTCCACTAGTTTAAAGGCAGAACCCGCGATTATTCGCCATCTCAGATGGTGGATTAGGGGGTTCCATATAGACGACAAGGGGTTGAGTAACTCGACTGTAACAAAAAAGCACAAAAAACATGCCACCTGCCCTAGATAGAACCCCATTTCGATCCCAGTTTGTACGTGCCCAATCAACTCTATCTCCAAAACTACGCCCTCATATGCACAGCTGATTCACCGATAAGATTTCTACTATCGTACAAGTGACGATTATGCTTTTTCATTCTGCAATCTCATTTTCACTGGAAGCCGGTCGGCGGAGTCTGGAGGCGGAGTCACTGGAAAAAAGGAGGAGCCACTGAACCTATATTGCGCTACAGCGCCCCTCCCATAGAATTTTTTGCCGCGAAACCGGTACAAGGTTGTTCGTCGCGGACCACTCTAACCTCCTGATGCCATATTTCCCAACTTCGATACCTGATCGCGAACCGTGTCTTTAAGGGAGAAGGTGAAGGAGGAGGGATCAGATAAGGGCGGAAGAAAAGGAAGGAAGGAGAAAGGAAAAAGGGAAGAGAAGAGGGGCTTCTCGGTTGACAAGTGCCCTGAGACGCTGAAGGTTTATTCTGGGAGGTGCGCAGCAGATGAGGAAGACGGTTTCGTTATCGCCGTCCAAAGACCCTTCAGTCGGTATGCATCTCATTTCAAATAGCCACTTCGACCTACCATTCTTTCCTTGTAAGTACCATACAGTTTGATGAAGGATGTTTATCCTTATGCGTATGGTTTAATCTTTTTGAGAACTCAATTTCTACTGGTTCTCAAATGCTTGAAATGGAATGTCACACCTTTCTACATTTATAGGCACGATTCGCGAACAGGTATAGAAGTTGAAAATGTGGCGCCAGGAGGGTAGTGTGGTTCGCGACGAACAACCTTGTACCGGTTTCCGCGGCAAAAATTTATAAGGGAGGGGCGCCATAGGTCCAGTGGCGCCTCATTTTTTCCAGTGACTCGGGCTCCAGACTCTGCCTTGAGGCCCCCTCCCAGTGAAGAAACGAAGCTACAGGACGAAAAAGCATGGAAATCGTCACTTGTACGGTCGTAAAGTTCATATCGGGGGTGTTAATTGGGCACGCACAAACTGGGATCGCATTGGGGTTCTATCTAGGGCAGTTGGCATGTTTTTTTTCTGCTTTTTTCTTCACTGTCGAGTTACTCAGCACCTTGTCGCCTAGACACAAACCCCTACCCCTCTATCTATGATGGCGAATCATCGCGGGCTTCGCCTTCACGAGAAAGCGAACTCGCAGTAGCAACTTTCTCAAGTACAAGTAATTTT